CTTTTTTTTCATTTTATTATCACGGTGCTTGCATCGCCTTGATTTGATCTTCATGTAGGTATTAAACAAATGTTTCTGCAATGCTTTATTAATTATTTTCAACCCCATAGGTTTTTTCCCCAAAAAAAGTCAAGCCCACATTGTTTGAAAATTTATTATTAGTTGAAATGATAAAAAAATTATTAAAGTTTTGAATTCGAGTTATGAAAAAAATCATTATTGGGAGAGTCATCCCTTTATAGATCTAATAAATAATAATGCTATTCGGATTAATTGATTTTGGATGAACCCGTTGAAAATAAAGATAACTTAAACATTAAGTATGAAAAGTTTACTCAGTAAATAAGGGAAACAATAGTAAGAAAAAGTTAGTGGGATCCACTTATTTTAATATGACTATAATAGGAAAAAAAAATTATACAGCAAAATCAAAACCATTAAACTCTAAAAATATAGATGAAATATGATAATTTTTAATGTAAAAAATCTCTTAAATAACTAAGGAAAAAATTAGAGGACCTGTGATTTAAATCTTTCACTGTAATAATGGTATTGATTATAAATAAATTTTTTTCTTTCTAATATAAAGCTAGAGATTTGTTCAGACTGCTTCATCTAATAATGGGATGGATTATAATATACTATTTATCACCGAATTTAGTGAATCCCACTCTAGCAGATGATGACATCACTTTAACTGATCAAGTTTAATAGATTCGTCCTCTCTGAAAAACAAGAAGTTCTGGTCCTGGAGGTATAATATCAATTACTTCACGTCCATCTGATGCATCCACTATAGTTATCTCGACGTTTGGTAGAGGAGATATTTTTTTTGCTAGGAAAATATAATTACTAGGTATATGGTAAAAAAGTAAGTTTGGTAGGAAAGTGAAAAAAAATTTATTTGGTAGGTCAAAATATTACTAAAAAAAATGGATTAAATTTTCTGAGTCTACGTTTGGTTGAAGGTAAAATATTAATAAGAAAATAAGTTGAAATGATAAAAATAACCCTTTTATAATTTTGTCATAATCGTTTGTCTCGTTATATGGCAAAGGTAAGACATCAACTGGCAAGACATCAAGTTGGAGGATCATTTTCGTCTTATTTCAGAGTCCAAGATTTCACTTAACTGGTAAAATAAAAAATACCACATGAGAAGTGGTGTTTTCAAACAGTAAATTCATCTCAATTTTCACACAAACCACAAACCCCAGGCAACATATTTTGGTGGTATAATTTTTGTGAAACTTGTACCAAACATGGTATACTACAAAATTCACTCACATTTCTCGTCATTCTCAAAATAAACCTTTATTAGACACTTCATTCAATGATGATTATCACTTTTGTGGAGGATTACTTAATCGCTCTCCCGTCTAATGGTGGATTGTTTCCATGTGGCTTTTGGCTTGTTTAATCCCACTTCTTACCCCCAGCTACTATGCTCTAAATTATTCCTCAATTAATTAAGGAGATATTTAATGGATGAAAATTTACAAAATCATTTTTGGGTTTGTTTTTTCTGATGTTACTTTAGACAGCTTTATCTAATGTTCATCAAAACGACGGCGTTTTGGGACGGAAATCATGGTTTTTTTGTAATTTTAATTTATTTCAGGGTTATAATAGTCTTTATCACTCTAATTTTTTAATTTTTTAATTCCAAAACGACGTCGTTTTGATGCACATTAGATAAAGTTATCTAAAGTAACATCAGAAACTTTTTTCCCATCATTTTTTCATACATAAATAATTAATAGTTCCAATATTATATTGGAATATGTTGCTAATATATAGATTAATTAATTCAAAACTCGAACAATAACTTGTCTCTATCTTGAATTAAAACATATTTGATGTCTGGTATTAGAGTTCTAAAATATGGTTAAAAATCACCAAGTATGTGAGTCAATTAAGGAAGAGTTATTCAAGCTTAATACGTGATCTCCAGTTGAATCTTAAATATGCATACAATTGTAACAAAATTTGATAAGAAGAGTTTTACTGTAGTTATAATTTTATCTGCCTCGTATCCTAATTAGTTAGAGCCCGTTGATGTCCGGATAGTTATACCCAAAAAAAATATGATTAGAAAAAAAATTTATTTCTTATATTTTTTCCCTACGAGATGATTTTGAGTTTTAAAGTGTAAACAATAGTCCACCGCTCTCACCCTTCTTTTTCCTCAGCTGTATTCACTTGTCCTTTTTTGATTAGGATATTTATTTTATTCTTCTGCCAAACTTGTAGCGTTGTTAAAATTGAAATTTTAAATAAAATTGAAATTTTAAATAAAATTGAAAGGGGACTAAAATATTGTAAAACGTAAAATTATAATATAAAAAAATTATAAAAAATCATAAAAATGTAAAAATATTTGAAATATTGATAAAATTATTTTGATAAAAAAATCATAAAAACGTAAAATTATAGTGATAAATTAAGATTTTAACAACGATACTTCTAGCTATATAACTTGCACGCATTGAATAACGAATGAAAGCAGGGTGTTTTTCTTTTCTTAAGTGTCTTTCTAGCTATGCCAGAAAAAAATTAAAAATTAGAGTCAAGTCTTTACTTTCAGCATGCTACGAAAAGTATGTGGCCTTACATGAACCAGTTGTTATATATTCAATGATGATTTGAAAATCAGGACCTACTACTTGGTGTCGTGACAACGAGTTAAAATCAACTAACTTGACTTCAATCTATAAAAGACAAAACATGCCTTTTAACCTAACTCGTTTGCAGACTTGTCAACCATGATCACCGGAAAAAGTTGTGTATAATTAATGAGAAATGTTTTTCTACTTTTACACAAGAAAAGATTTATTTCCTATACATAAATCGAATTATGTGCCAAGTTTTTGTTTTTCTTTTTATTTTCTTTTTCTAATTGCTGGTCCCACTTTTTTGTCTCAGTATGAGACAATTCTTCTCTTATGTAAAAAGAGAAAAGTATTGTTATCAAAAAAAAAAAAAAAGAGAGAAAATTATTTTCCATAATTAAATACACTTTTTTTAGCACTTGTTTTTTTATTATTGATTTTAATATTTAGAGTAAAGAGTGGTGTGAATATTACATTATTAGAGAGATATAATATAAAATTATTAAAGACTCATCATTTGTCATCTTGAGCTTTTCGATGAAGTGGTTGCTTTATAAAACAGTTTAAACTAATAAATAATGAGTCTTCCATAATTTTATATTATATCTCTTTAACATATATAATATATGTTATGAAATATATCTATATCCTAACCGCCTATCCATGAGTCCCTTAATAAATAATGGCACAGTTATATTAACAACATGAGACGATGAAGATAAGGAGATAAAGACCTTATCCCTACAAAGAAGAGATTAAATCCTACTTCAACTAGGAGATCTACACAACCCAAACCCAAGAGGTAATCCCTATAAATAAAAAACTAAAGACCCTAGGTACACATTCTGAACCTATTTACTATTACTGACAACATTGTGCACACACTCATGTCTTGGCTATCAGCCTATTACTTGTGCACAGTGATTAAGATATTTGCTATAAGCATACGAAGTATGAGCCATACCTGCCAAATAAAATACATTAATAGCATCTGATTTATAAGGAAACTTAATAACAACCGGCAACAGAAATCTATCTCTAGGATATCTCTCAACTCATACCCTACAATATAGTTCTACGGTTCTCTAGGACCGAATAATATAAATGTAGAATAATGTTTTTCTTGCTAATGTGCACCAAGTATTATTTATCAACAAATATAGTTGATTGGCTCCGTCCAAATGGAAACACATTCATGTTAGTTCTAATTTTGGAGTCACATCAGATATAGTGAAATAGATATGCAGAAAGGATTCTTGAGGATGAATGGGCGTTTGGTACGCGGGATTCTTGAAAAATTCTGAGAAACTGAATTTTTCTAAATTTTAAATTTACGGATATTATCATAAACTGAATGTAAAAATCATATTTTTGAAAATTGAGATTCCCGACTAAAAAAATTTTTCTCCTGTACCAAACGCCAATGCATTAATATGTTTGATGTGTGCATCTTGTTTTGACATATTTCTACCTATCTTTCAACCTCCAACTCTCTCTCTCTCACTCTTCCTCTTCTTCTCTTCCTAATTTCCTTCAGTTTCATATTTAAGACTTGTTATTTCTGTTGCCAGTTGTTATTAAGTTGCCTTATAAATCAGATGCTATTAATGTATGAGATATATTTATCTCATTTTACATGAAAGAATCAATTTTCCTACACACAAAAGAGGAATGAGTCCCACTTCTTTTTTTTTCTCTCTCCTCTTATATGTGGGTCTCACTTGTAATTTTATTTCTACAACATGATGTAACTATTTTCCTACAACATAAAAAAAGTATTTCCCTTAATTGTATTTTATTTGTTAGGTATGGCTCATGCGTCGCATGCTGATGAGGGGTACTTATTGTCAGGGTCAGTAGAAAGGCAACTGAAGTACCACTCTGATTTATTGTATTTTTTCTGTTCTTAATAGTTTGAATTTGGGCCAATGAATAGCTGCTATTAGGGTTTTCTAATCATATTTATATTCTCCTTGTAAATCGAGTGATTTGTAACGTGTGGCGATAAGGTGAATATAATACAAACAAGCTGGACGTAGCCTAAATTGGATAAACCAGGGTAAATCATTGTGTCAACTCTCTCTCTCTTTTCGTTTGCGATTTGCACGTGATTGTCGATTTCCAACATTATTATATATTTATAAAGCTTCTAGATGAGAACACTTCTCTTGTTAAGAGTACTAGAGGGAGCATCATCACTGCATCACTTTCTAAAGTTAGCAAAAATTAACCCATTTTATCTGATTGATTCTGCCCATCCCTTTATGGTTGTCACTTGAGTCTCAGTTGATAATAAAGAAGTACCTATATAACACTAAAGATATGCTCAGTGGTTAATAACGAAAACAGAACAAAACCAAATGGCATTAACAAAAATAAATTCACCTTTTTCATCCAACATTGACCAACAGGTAAAGGCCATACACATTTATTTGCTGCTACTGGAGAACTAGTATAATGGCCTCCTACTGCTAAACTAAGACTGTGGAGTAATTTGCTAATGACAAACAATATATACAAATTTCAGTAAAAATCATAAAAGTGAAACTCAAACTCCTCAGTTTTAATGATGAGGAAAGTGCAAAGATTTTGGTGAACCTTGAAAAAGGTCCAAAATGTAACTTTGTAGATCATCTACAGTGCAGATCCACTTTTCAGCAATGTCAGATGAGTATCTCCCAGTGTATGTGCGGTAAGCAGGAACTACCTTCTGAGAAACTGAAATTTGTAGATCTTCACGAAGTTCAGGGTCTGGTATCAACCATCCTGTTTGTTTCCTATATACTTCACCAAAGGCAGTGTTGAAATCTTTGCACCTTTTCTTTAGTGTTCTCTCTGAAATACAATTTGAGCCACTACCCTCCTTAAGCATAGAAATGACTGAACCCCAAGTGAGCCTCTCATAACTTCTAGCATCATGCTGAAACTTCCCAACATGCTGGCGAAGCCAGTAATCTCCCAAGAAATGGCTTAGGTTAGAGCACTTAACCTTTTGCACCATGTAATGAATGTTGTTCATCATGAAAATATGTTGCAAAGCCACATCTTTGTATAATTTGGATTTGTTGCTCAAGTTGGATTCTAGTGTGGTAGTGATTGACAAAAAGTGGCAAGCCATTGGACAAAATGAGAGAGCTGAGTTATCATGATTATTGAGTACTTGATCAATTGAACTTTGATCTACAAAAATAAGATTAAGGGTGTCACCATATTCAGCAAGTGCTTTGATATAATTCATGACATACTTGGTAAGATGGTGAACACCCCCTCCAGGTAAACGGGGTTTTGATGGATTAGTTGCAATAGCATTTCTGAATGTCTGAAATGTGGACTTTATAGTATCACCAAACTTCCTTAGAAGCTTGTGAAACTCTCCCCTAACAAAGGAACCAACTTCTTCAAAGAACAAAAAATCTACATCCACAGCAAGATGCTCCAAAACCTCATACATGTCAAGTAAACAAAACAGTTTTTCTGGTGTATATGTGCCCATTGCTATGGCCTCACCAAAATTCAAAAGGTGCAACACAAAACTCTGAGATATTTCAGAAAAGCAAAACTGATAAACAGGTCCAAAGTCTCCCAGAATCTGCTTACATAATCGTTTCTCACTGACAAGATAAACATGAACAATGATCTTGATAGCATGAATCCATTTCTTTATCTCATGGCTCAAGCAATGCCACTCCATTTTCAGCACATTCTCAATGCTCAAGTTTTCCATTTTAAGAATGACAAAGTAATCAGCCAAGGCATCTCTCCTAGAAGTAATGAAGACCTGATAGAATTCCTGATGGTATTTTGAAGAAAACATGACATTTGCAATGCTCTTGAGATCTTCAAGTATTGCTGGATGCACCAAATCAACAGTGCTAGTCTCAGATTGGTTACCACCACTACTCTGAGATGCCTCATCCATTTGTTTATCCTCAACTGAACCAAATGATTCATCATACACCATATTCTCTCTATTAGAATGGCAAGACATGTATTCTGGCTCAAAGTATTGTTTATGCTGAACAAGAATGTGAATTAACTCTTCCTCAAGCCTTGACATAGCAATCTGCAGAATTCCAGTAGCTAGCTGAAGAAGTTCCTTCTGCTTCCAACTTTCATTCACGGAAAAGTTTTGCAAACTTTGAATCAGTGTTTGGATTTCACCAACAACTTTTAAATACTCAGAAAACTCACTGGGACTAGAGTCCCATGTCATGGTATGATTTGTCTCCCAACTCATTACTTTGTCTTCAGCAATTTTAAGCTCCCTCTCTAATTGCTTGATACCCCTCCCATTTCTTTCATTAACTATGGACATTGCAGATAACTGGATCTCAAGATCCAAGACAGTTTTTCTCAAGTCATCAGAAACGTTCTTACTTGCTGCTAGTGCCTTTAAAATGTGCTGAGCCGCAGCAACCATGTGTTGATCTTCTTCACAGGTAGTGATAACAGATTTATGTTCCTCCATACCCGCAAAAAGATGAACAAGCAAGAAGAAATCTAGACCAGAATGCACCCTCCACAACTGAACAGGACTACATTGACCCCAATCCAGAATTCATTGTGCACATAAAGAAAGAAAGAATTGGTGGGTTCAACAAAGAACTAGTGGTAGCAAGAGCTTAACCTTTACACAAGAAAAGTAAAAGGAGCTCGGAAAATTCAAGATTACACTTCTTAGTCCTCAAAGGAATAAGAGTTATGGCTGCATAATTTGAGAGAACTCTTAGACAGAACCTCTATGGTAGTAAGAGGGTTGGTGATCAAATACAGAATCCACCAAGCATAACCTCTAAACTCAAAAAACCCATAAAACAAAATTGCCATCAAGAAATGGAGAACTACACCAATTGATCCTCACACAAAGACCTACCCTCAAAATTAATAATCACTTGGAAATGGTTCAAAAAAAATATCTTTTTTTTTTTAGAAAAAAATCACTGAAAATCACATACAGTTCACTAATTTAGAAACAAGTATCAAATAAAAAACAACTACAAACCAAGGAAAAAGCACCTCCAACTCCAACCAAAAGAAATCCGAGATATTAAGGATATGGCAAAATACATATCTAGGAGGAGGAGCCTTAGAAATTGAGAAGGGTGTGTTTTGTGGAAAAAGAGTAACAAAGAGAAAAATGGATTTTAACTAACTGAAATTTGGTAAGAGAAAATTGAAGTTGAAGTTTCTTGGGGACAGAAAAAAGAAAATTTGTGGAGGTGAAGGCTTTCCCTGAAAGTTTCTCTCTCTACACAAATGTTGCTTTTGACTTTTTGACTGATATAATAGAGTATTAACCAAACTAGGAATTGAAGCATTGAAGGGGAAAGGGAGCAGTAGTCAATAGAGTGTGGTTCCTGGGAACTCTTGTTTTGACCAATGCTAACTAAACAGGTCGTGGACGTACAATGTCTTTGACTCTTAGCATAATTTATCTCGCAAAGTATCACATATTGCTTAACACAAAAACATTATGATGATTCTTTAATAATGTTATAACGATAATTGATTAACAGTTTAATCTAGCATTGGCTTCAAAATAAATAAATTAAGAGTTTGATGTAACATAATCATTCCACAATTTGTTTGCAACTTATTATATGTATTTTTGGTGAAAAATAATTTTTTTATTTTTTTTATAGTCAAGTCATTTTAATCCCATTTGAGCACTCATATTAGGGCAACCTCCCAATATAATTTTTTTTTTCCATTCTTAAGTCTCAAACTTGAAACCTTTGGCTAAGGAGAATAATTTCGTTATCACTTAACCAATAATTATTAATTAATTATATATATATATATGGAAAATTGAGTATCCAGTCACTGTATATAAAATTTCGTCCAGTTACCGCATTATAACTATGTATTCCCGAAAATACATAGTTATAATATTAAAGTTGTACTTATTGTTTACCAAAAAAAAAGTTGTACTTATTTCTCTCTCTTCATAAACTTGTTTGTTGATGTGAAAAGTAAAAAAAAAGTACAACTTTAATATTATAACTATGTATTCGTGGAAATACATAGTTATAGTATTAAAGTTATACTTTTTTTTCTCTCTTCATAAACTTGTTTGTTGGCTGGAAAACGAAAAAAAAAAAGTATAGCTTTAATATTATAACTATGTATTTCCGAGAATACATAGTTATATATTTGATACCTTTTGATCTGTTGTAAATATATATATATATATATATATATATATAGGGACAGGATCCGTTTACAAACTTTTTGGAATTTTTTTACAAATTACACTATTTCTCCCAGGAGAACATAGTGTAGTTTGTAAAAGTTTGTATTCTCCCGGGAGAATATAGTGTAGTTTGTAAGAGTTTGTATAACATGCCATATATATATATATATATATATATATATATATATATATATATATATACATACATACATACATACATATATATATGGATTTAGTGAGTGTACAGTGACTAGATGTAAAAATCGATCCAGTGCACTATGTTCTCCCGCGAGAACACAGTTATAGTAAAATTTATACTATGTTCTCCTGGGAGAACACCATTGTAATATTTATTGCATTAAGTTCTCGCGGGAGAACGTAGTGCACTGGACGGTCCAATGACTGAATTTTTTATTTTTCCTATATATATATATATATATATATATATATATATATATATATATATATATATATGATACCTTTTGATCTGTTGTAAATAATTGTAATTAGTTATTTATTTATTTTTTCATTCTAGAATCTTCTTTGGGCTTAGCCCATTAGGTCATTTAGTATCTTTAAATAAAGAGCTCTTGAACAGTTGTAATACACAATTCAATAATATATTTTCCTTCTCTTTTCAAGATGGTATCAGAGCTCTCGATTCTGAGGGCTTTGCTTCCGCAATTGCTACCTTTAGAACTAAACCCTATTTGTTTGCCTCCCGCTGCCACTAAGCCGCTACCTGAAAAAAAAATTGGGGATTTTTTGAACCGAGAGGACTACTGTTTGACTCCATTTTCTCAGATCTATCAGTCTATGGACGTTTCCCAATCAACAGATGATCAGATTAGCCCTAAATAGCCCAAACCGCTACTGTTTATCAACGGAAAGTACTGTTCTAGTGACCTTTTGAGCTCTGTTCAACCACAGACAGGATCGCAACTTCCAGGCGACCCCATCGTGAAAAATCTAACTCTGCCGACCATCCACGCGCTCTCACGCGTCGTCATTCTCTTTACGCGTAACACCCATGCGTCGACAACCTCACCAGCGCGTGACGGTGAGTCTTCGCCTCAAACCATCGTGGTTTTGCTCGTCTCTTCTTGCTCTATCTGGATATGTGCTTATCTCTCTTATCAGACATCGTTTGGGTGTAAACCCTCTAGTACTCTTATGGAGCAGAATCACAAGATGAGTTATGAAGAGAAGAGTCCTCTAGTTGATAAAGGACAATATTGGCGGCTAGTTGGGAGACTAATATATCTAGCTCATACTAGACCAGACCTAGCTTATGTTGTTAGTATTATGAGTTGATTCATGGATAATCCAAAAGAAAAACATATATAAGCAGTGGAGAAAATTCTTCAGTATCTTAAACTCACTTTTGGTAAAGGACTATTATTTTGGCTTAATGGCAATCTTTCTTTAGAAGTTTATACTGACACTGATTATGTTGGGTCCATGACTGATCGTCGATCTACCATTGGTTATTGTATGTTTCTTTGTGGTAACTATAATACCTCAACCCTATAATCAGAGTTATTAAGATTAATCAGAATTATTATAAATTTTCATGAATTGTTAAAGAATTCAGAAATAAGAAATGTCAGATAAATTACAGAGAAGAAAGTTTGGGTTGAATACAGATATTTTCCCAACATTTGTTATTAATTATGATAAGTAATTTTATTAGAATTATGTGAGAAAACACACACTAAGCCATGCTAAGTATTGGCAATATAAAAGAAAAATAAAGAAAAATTAGAGGCGTTTGACAGGTCATGCTTGCAGCTCTTTCTCGCTGTAGCGAGCTACGCTAAGCAAGTGCTTGCTGGTTCATCTGGATAAAGCGAGATGCTTAGTGAACTTAGTAAAAGCTCGCTGTCCTTGCTCGCTAGAGTGAAGGGTTCAACGAGCAACATGAAAACAGAATTAAAACAAGGGGGTCTAGATTTCATTAAACAAAATCCATTTATGTTTTCCTCCACCGAAGCTGTAGTCATAGGAAGGGAAAGAAGAGAGCTTGAAAACCCATTATTGTTAGAGGCAATAAGAGCACATGGTATGAACATGAAAACCTATTAGAACATCACCCTCATCTTTCTCATCCTCTCCGTTTTCGAATTTATGGTCATTTGTGGGAGATTTGGCTTGGAGAAAGTGTAGGTTTTTGGCCCTTTGAGAGTGTTTGGGCTTGTGAATGCTTGGAAAACCTTCCTCACACCACTCTAGACTCATTTGTGGTAAGATTCCCTTTCGCATTTATGGTTTTCATGGATTTGCATATACCTAGGGTTCGATAAATAGTAAATTTCAAAATTTACATGGAAAGTGTAGATAGATGATGTATTGATCATGGAATCTATGATAAAGAATGCTTAGAACATTATTATGTAGTAGAAAAATCCATAAATTTGGTTATGTCATTTTGAAAAAATGACCTAGAGATGGTCTTGGAACATATGATGATTGTGAGTTGAAAATAATATATTGATTGTGGTTGTGATGTGGATTATGTAGTTATGGATATGTAGACACCGTGATTATGGAGAAAACGTTAGAGACTTGAAGTGTAAGAACCCGCACCGTTAATTAAGGAATTTAATTAAATAATTATGAGATAATTTCATAATTGACCCTAATAATTATGAGAAGGCTTAAATAATTATGGTAAGTAATTAAGAATATTGAAAGTCGCTTTTCTGATGAAAAGTGCAGATACCGGTTCTGCTCACAGTATAAGTGCGTACCGATGAAGTATCCCAGAAAATTATAATAAGTGCATGAATATTCCTAGAAGGATATATAGGACTGTGATTTCAAGTTTCAAGTTAAAATAATGAGAACTGGTGCCAAAACTGATACTGGCTATGTAAAAGCGCGTACCAAAAAGGTGCTGCGAAAAATAAAATACAAATATGACAAATCTTAGAAAAATGAGTAGGTTCAGAATCCTAAGTTTGGGATTAAAATGCTAGGCGTAGCTATTAGTGCTAATACTGTGTGTTTAAGATTTAAATCACTATAAATACTCATTTTTGGCTCAAAACCCTAGGCCATATCAGTTTGTTACGTGACTCTTGGGGAGGCTGGTTTGTTTAACAGTGTTCCATTGCTTCCTCATCCTTTTTGTGAGCATTGCAACCTCTTTTCCTCCATTTCTCTTCACTAAATACCTTGTGTGAGTGGGAGAGATCATTGTGAGTGTGAAAGGAGCACCTTTTCTGAGTGTGGTGGTTGTGTGAAGTCAGTTTAGGGGATGTATTTTCTGTGTTGTGAGGGTGAAGCCTTTGTCATGGCATTTTGAGGTCCAAGGAGTGATCTTTGTGAGAAAGACCAACCTTGGTGTGCCATTTTCGTTTGCCTTCAAGTCAAAACTGTAGAGGCAGTGTGGTGAGCTCCAAGAGCCATGGTTGCTCTGTTTTGAACCTTAGGTAAGCTCCACCACCTTTGATCATGAGTTTCGTTGTTTAAAAATGGAGTCTTGGCATGTTTAATGAGTTGTTTAAGTAACCAACATGTATATGAACATAAAAGAGAATAAAAATGCATGCTTTAACGTTTAAAAGTGTTAAAAATGGAACCTTGGAAGTGATATCTCGCGAAATACAGAAACTACATTCTGTTGCGAAATATCCGGATATGATATTCGGATATTGATATCCGGATATGGGGTTCTGTGATATCCGAATATGGATATCCGGATATAATATCCGGATATGTGATATCTGGATATGCCCCCGACAAATATCTGGATATTCTGGGTATTTCAGAACAGTGACGGTACTGTTCATACAGAATGTCATTGTGGGTTTATGGACCCATGATTGGTCAGTGGGACTTCTGTAATAATTAATCTAAGTCAGAATCTAAGCGATTAAGGGCTTGGGGCTTTGTGAGAAGCCTAAAGACATGAAACGTAAAGGAAAGGCGTTGTCTTTGTTGTATGCTTGTAGATTTTGATTATTGATATGATTATTGGTCTTAAACAGATTGTGATTCTGCTGTTTATGGACTTTGAGTTTGTGTGGACTCTTGGCTTTGATAGTTA